GAAAAAATCGATAAGCTAGCTCAACCTAGGTAAAGCGGTACATTTAGCTAGCTCAAGCTAGCTACTACCTAGCTGAAGCTAGCTAAATGTACCGCTTTACCTAGGTTGAGCTAGCTTATCGATTTTTTCTTTTGCCTGGGTATAACAATGGAATTACCTTTATCTGCACGACAAATTACAATATTATGATTATTTTACAAAGATTTAATTGCATTAAATTCTTCATCACTAATATTCCTTATCTTTTTCTTTTTAACTGTTTTGATAAATACTTCTGAATAACTATACAATTTACGACATATGGTAGAAAATACGTTAGGGTGACAATGTTTTTTTGGATTTTACAAGCGTTTCTTCTTTTGATGTGTTATCAATTAGTGATCACATTATTGGCTTTTTCTTGTTCCTTCTCTATCTATACTCTATTAATTAGCACTCTTACTATATATAGAGAGATTGTATTTCACTTTTCTGTTTTTCCTGATGATGATAAGTGTTGCTCTTATCGAAAGCTTGAATAAACCATAAATTGATTTTTGTTAAAAATCTATTATGATTTTTGTAGCAGTGTTATACTCAATAATTTCTAAATTTATTTCTACTGCTCCATCTTCAAATTATTTATCATGTACTCGCTCCCAGTATGGCGATGTTATATTCCTAACAATTAGGAAAGTTGAAAAACTCTCTATTAAACTTCAAAAGTGCAAATGTGATCTTGAATTCCTTCATCTTTGCCTAATCTATCGTCTGACACCTACATTTATTAAGATTAACCGACTTCGCGAGTTCACAGCGATCTCTATCGCGACAGAGCGATCGTGCCGCGAGTTAGACGCGAGTGTCGACCTGGGTGATACGAGTCTTATCAAAAATTAGCAGAATTTTTCGTGTAGGGTGATTATTCATCAGAACAATCAAAGATGGCATTCCCGCACGTTGGATACACCATTGTGCACATGAACAATCAAACCATACAATTAATATATATTAGTAGAACATTCTGTTACTAGAATTTTGTTTTTTCTTCGTTCTTTAGTATGTCGTACTTTTTTGTATATAAAGCAGACGACCTTTTGCAGTTTTTTTGTCCTTCTTTTCAATGCACTGAAGAAGAAAATTTGAAACCGGTCTACATTGAATAAATAACAGTACCAAATCTATTAATTAAAGTGTATCAGTCGACGCCGAAGTATATGTATTTATATGTAAGTATATATATTTTTACTTCTAAGTAAAAGTACTTGTCTAAAGACAAGTGAATAGCACTGATAAAGATGGATGGTGTTCAACCGTTGCGGCTATAATTAAACAAGTATATTTGCTCAATTTTCTTAACAAAAAGAATAATAATCGCTATTTCACTTTTTATAATCAATATGCATAGCGTTTTACGCCTATGCTTACAACTATTTCGATCGTACTTATTTCCATAGACTGCCTTATTAAGAGTTTCAAAAGATTTCTATAAGTTTCCCATAGAAATCCTATATAACATTAAATCTGTAGGGTCAGACATGTAGATCACTTATATCGGTAATTCTAATATGATCATAAAAAATTAATTTCCATTTGTTTGTGTTTATTCCAAAAAATCATTGAATTTGTATGACTAAAAAATAAAAAAGTGTACATATTTTTCATCCGATCACATCGCCAGGCGTAGAGAGTGGTGAGTGTGAGAGTATACACACAGAGAGTGGTGAAATACACTCATAAAATATCTCAATAAGCGTTTTATTCCTCACGCTACTTTGAAGGTGCTACTCTCTCACTCTTGAATTTATGATATTAATATCATAAGATGCTTTTACTAAGACTTTCCGTTACATGTTAGTAAAATTTATGTATTTTTAGCAAACCCAGTGTCACACTACCACACTACAGCGTTAATTATGATTATAAATAAACTGTGCATAAAATCGATTTGTGATGTAACCGCACATTTTTTAATTTATTTTTTCACTTTTGCAAATTAATTGTGATTCACAATTAACGTTTGAAGTATACTCGTTCAGCATAAATTCACATCAAACACTGACGAAATAAAAATAAGTCGAACCTGTTTGTTCTCTTAAATAATTTCTTTTTACTAAATACTAAATACCTTTTGTCTTCACGCATGCGAATTGTATTTATTTGTTCCATATCCAGCACATGAACGTGTTACATAAGACGATTTAGAGTAACAGTGTAATTTTAACACGAGAAGAAAGAGAGCCTTTTCAACGTTCGTGATTACTCGATTAGGGGCTAAGGATATTCAGATATATAGAGTATATTAGGATAGAAAGAGATAATTGTGAATTTTTTGTGAGTGCGGAAAGGTTTCTGGTCGACAAAATTTGCTATTGAACATAGTGATAGATTGAACATTTTTCTACACGTTGATGGAAAAATCTTCTGAAAATATCAGGTAGTTTTCGAATCATAGTCAAAATTCGGAGAGCTCATTCAAGTGTCTCTTTTTCCCTCAATTGAGAAAAAAAATGAATTTATTCAAATATCTGACTTTGAATCAACGAATCATCGTTCATAAAGTGTGATAAAGAATTATGTCAAAAACGCTTCATTTTGTAGTCCGAATCTTCCTCTCTCCATCATATAGATTCTGAGCTAACTATTGATATGAATGTTCCACCCGATGAAAAATATTTGATAACGATTGCTTATGCGTAAAAAGAACGATGATTTTCGTTGATGCAATTGATTTGAATAAAAAGAAAGAAATTATTGAAACAACATTCTCAAAATTTTGAAAGGGTAGGGTAGAATCAGGAGTAAACAAACAGCTATTCTGTACATCTCTAGGTGCCATAAGATTAGGAACGGTGCCAGAAATGTTATCAAGGGCTAAAAATACAAAAAAATATTGAAAAGTAGTAAAAACAATATTTTAGAGTAACCAACCAAATCCATTAAAATTAATTAATCTCTAAAACAACTTATGTGTTTAAAAAACCGAAGCTGTTCTGTCATGTTGGCGCTAAACTTTTTTGGGTTTAGTAACAATTTTAGAAAACTTATTGCTGGTAATTTCCGGTAGGGATTTATAATTTATACGAAATGCTTAAGTTAATGAGAGAAAGTCTCTTAAATCCATCCCAAAAAAGATTTTTGAAAAAATAAAAATAAATTTTCTTATTATATTCTTAATTTTTTATTATAGAAAATATCAAGCTGAAAAGCGAGCCATACGGCATACGTAGATGGCAAGGATTTTTGCAAGTTGCATGGCTTGACTTTGCCACACGCATGACCATGGCAAGTTTAGAGTGTGAAAGTTTATTTAGGATTCTCCTAAATTCTTTTTAAGATTAATAAAATACACTTTTTTTTTTAAAGAACATGTACATCCGCTCTCCATTTAAATCGGGAAGTGGATGTAAAAAAGTTGTGGAAAAAACAAGTAATTTATTTAAGTTGATTTTTTATTTTTGCTTTGAGAATATAATTCCTTTATGTTTTCAAATATTAACACATCATGCCACTTAAGAAAACATTTTAAAATATATTTATTTTGCTAATTTTTTTAGTGTATACATAAAAATTCTTTTGCTATTTTTTTTTTATTTTGTTTGTTTTTGATTTTTAAAGTAAAATACTTTACATCACTTGAATACTATATAATAAAAATTGACAAAAACATACTGATTGTGCAAAGTTTATTCAAAGAATAAAAATTTTTTTCGTAATTTATACATTATAATTTACACTGTTTCCTAAAACGATACAGGTAATGCGCTTCGATAATTTTTCTTATCCTTAGTGTATAAACTCATTAGTATACAAAATATTAAAATAACTTTTGAGAATCACGGAAACAGGGGTTTTGCAAAATTCTTATGCTAAAGGTTGACCTTGTTAGTGTCAATGAGGACTAAATGTACCGATATTTGAAAATAATATCTTCTTTTCCCTCTCTGTTTGTCAGAAAGAGAAGATAAACCTTCATTTATATGGTTATTCATGTAAATTCTGTTATATATCAACTGCGAAAGGATTCTTCTAATATTAGTTTAAAAATAGATTTATTATTAAAAAAAAACTCCCCTTTGCAAATTATTTTAGATCATACAAATGTCATCATCATCTTGTGACAGCAATAACGGTACCAGTTGTGAAATTTGTGATGGCGAAAGTTTAGCTATTATTCTTGCACTCTATTGGGTTATCTATCTTGTGATAAATGCATTGATATTTGCTGGTGCATTATATGCATTACGAAAATATTTTGCTAATGTTAAAGTACCTCGTAAAGATACTAAAAAACAACGATCCATATTACGTACAGACAGTCAAATGGGTTTAATTAATAAACATTAATCACATACACACAGACATAACATGCACAGATTGAAAGAAAATAAATCTGATTTGATGATAAATATATTGCTTTATTCTTTAGTTGATGTTCTCTCAGTTCATTCCAAATTTCTTTTCTCCTTCGTTTCAAAACTTCTCAAAAGAGATACAAAGCTGTCCTAATTGACTATGCATGATCAAACAACATCAGACTGAGTGGGAGTTGGCAAAAAAAAAAAGTATCTCTTTTGAAACGTAGTCCTCAAAAACTATTAATTTTTTTGAAACTGTAGAAGTTTTGCACAATGCATTATATAGACGAAAAAGATGTAATAAATGTGATTAGAAATCTGTTTTAATTGATTATGACAGGCAAAGAACACTACAATGTACGAAAATGTGAAAGAAGTATTCAGTAGAGTTAAAAAGCATCAATACATTTTAATTATTTTATTACTAATACACACAATAAATGTGTGAATAAAAGAAACAAACTGAGAGAGAAATAATTAGGACGAATCTAGACTAAATCTCCTAGATAACAATAGCATACAGTAATTAGCTAGTAGTCTGTAATCACAAAAAGAATAATAAATCCGATTTAAATTATTAATGTCCTCGTTGAATCCTTGACATTGAACTTTGATCGTTTATCATTTTAAAAATAAAAAACTTACTGTGTCTAGATGAATTCAATTAAGTTCAACTTCTTTCATAGAATAATGTGTAAACACTCAGATTCATATATGTTAAATAACATTGTCTCGATTCTCTTACTCATAAGGTAACATCCAGCAGTCTAAGAAAATATAGTCGATTAAAAATACGGAAGTTTTTCACAATAAATAAAGATAAAAGTCATCTATCTTAGTCCTTCAAATGTACTGACTTGCAATTTAAAATTCTTTTAAAATTGATGTTGTCATTTTTTTTTCATTTTAGGTTTTTTTTTTCTGTACTTAACATCAATTCAAGGGCCATTAGTGACAACATATCTTATAAAATCCCTCATATTGTAATCAGACAAAACTTTCGATTCGGTTTTGTTCTTTATTTATTAGCATTTCTTTTATCAAAAATAAAAAAATTAAATGTATATAGCGATATAACTAGGCATGCATCAGTTTTTAACTGGCGTTGAGGCATCCGGGAGAATTGCTATAAATCAGTTATCACGATTCTCTCAGAGCTGTAAAACATCTAATTTTGTAGAAAAATGTTTGCTCTACAAAATGTATTTGTTAAAAGAATTTC